CCTTACCAATACCAGATGAAAGCCCCAATTGTCACATATAGAAAATATCGGTATCGTGAGATGCTCCATCCGTGGGTCTCTGATTCATCCGAGGAGCTCCAGTCGTGAAGAGCATAAAACAAGGAAGTGTTCGCAAATTGACTAGGCCACATCATAGCAGCGGGCCTTGACATTGTGAGTATTGGCAATCTTGGCAGATAAGGTTCCAACTTACCAGACGAGGAACCGGCGGAAAATGCCTGCCAGTGACATACCAACTACCTGGCTGCTCAAAGCGAATAAAAGTTGGAATCCCCACCCAAGTTCCATATTATAGAGTGCTGAGAGTGTGTGTCAGACCGATATCGATTTAGAGCAAGGGACATTGCTTACGCTTTGCTTTCAATGCCAAGAGGGCATCCGTACAATAAGCATATCCGATCGACACACTATACATTGCTTAGCATCGCGATGTCAAAGCTTAGATATAATCAAGATCCACCCACTTTGCCATGATCTGGAAAAAAAAAAAAAAAAAAAAAAAACGTTCAGCTTTACTAACTTTTGAGAATCAACTTTCAAGAACTTACTGTGATAACTGCATGCTCTTTGATGGTGAAAGGACCGGTGTTCAACGTCCATTCCACTCCGAATGTATTGAATTTTCGAGTCGGCATTGTCTTGGCCCACAAACAACCCATCGGATAGACCAGCAATTGTACGACGATGGCTGGGAACGAGATGGCAGGACTCCTAGTGCAAGATGAGCAAAATATTTCCTACTTAAAGGCTTCGTCAGAATCAAAGCCCACCTCATGCTCAGGAACATGTTGAGTCCACTTCCTAGAGTAGTGAAAAACATGCCCAGCACCCAGGCGCGTACGGTGTTTGCAACTTCTCCGCCATCTGTGTTGCGCACCGCAGCACGAACAGACTCATACTGGGACTCTTGAGCGAGAGTCTTTTCCAACTCGGCAGCCTTTTCCTGATCGCCTGTCTTGACTGCCTCGTTAATGGCGTCGATCTTCTCCTGTGGCAAATTTGGATCCCACTGGTGGGAGAGTTGAACCTTGTGTAACTCTTGAATCGTATCGCTTACTGACTTGTCATTATCGTTTGGCATGTCGAGCTGGGATGGGTCAAGGCCCTTCGTGACAGGTAGATGTGAAGCCATTCTGCAACAATAGGGTAGCAGGTGACCTGGTTAGGATTTCACTGAACAATCAATTTAGAATTAAAAGCTTCGGGACATGGCAGGTGTTATTCAAGGCTTATATATTTGTCAAATAGGAAGAAAGAAAGAAAGAGAGAGAGAGAGAGAGAGAGAGATTGGGAGATTCAAGGGGACTATCTATCATAGCAGACAGCCAAGAGGCCTCTAATCTGTATACGGCGTCAATTGAGCTTGAAATGTCTTATCTAGACTTGGCAATGGCTACATATACTACCTATATAGGTATGTATGTAGAAGTTCAACCTGGGCCGGTCCCCTTGCCGGTCCAATCCTTAGAAGAATAAGTTTCTCCTCTAAACACAATGTAGCATTCGATTCATTTCCCTGCATTCCAGCATTATCCCTAGTCCCCCCTCGGATCACCCACTCTGGGTTATCATCCCGTCGAGATAACAAAGTACTACTTTAGGTATAAACGCGGAGAAAGAACGCGCAACTTTATAAGCTAAGGTTACTCTGTGCGATATGACCAAAAACCAACCATTCGGACCGGCCAGCGATATAAGGTATAATGTCGGATACACCACCCGATGTAGTATTGTAGGACCTATTAATTTTAATCAAATGCACCGCCAAGATAGTCTACGTTCTGCTTTAGCCGGAAGACTATGCTTTTCTTCTTCAATTTGGCCTTAGTTTAGTCCTAGGAAAGCGCTGCTTCTTCCTTACACATCGCTTCTCCTGGTTTCCTGCCCCTAAGACTCAACTTCGAAAGAAAATTATTTTAAAAAAACAAGGAAGCTCATATATTTCCGAACAAACCAGAGGGATAACCGGATTTCGCCTGTCATGGTATCTGTCACTTTACCCAGGGGCATCGCCATCCAACGTGCACAAGCCGATACGGTGCGCGACAGGATTGAGCGGATCACCGAGGACCTCAAAGATATCAAAGGATTTTTCCCCATCAAAATATCCCCCAGAAGAACACAGAAGTTACGCGAGTTTCTTACATCTGAGCTCGACTCACTCCGCAGCCAGCCCTTTGATCTTTATGATCAACAAGGGAAGGTAGACTATCTTCTGATAAAAAATTACCTCGAAAGACAGCTGCGCGATTTGGAACTCAACTCTAAACAAGATGAAAAGACTGCACTGCTTCTACCATTTTCAGACACGCTGCTGGAGCTGTGTGAGGCTCGTGCTATGGTAGTGTCGATGAATTCAAAAGACGCTGCCCAGAAGCTCGTTGAATCCCAGTCTCAAATCGCAGCCGTGATAGACATGGTCAAAAACAACTCGACCAAGATCCGGATGGAGAAAACGATTGCATTTAGAGCGGCGAGAAACATAGACTCATTGCACACAAATCTGAAAGAATGGTTTGAATTCTACAAAGGCTACGATCCGTCGTTCAATTGGTGGGTGTCACATCCGTATGGAGTTGTGGAAAAGGGCCTGAAAGATGTTTCAGCAAGTATCCGAGAGAACTTGGCTGGCATTCGCCCAGGCAACGAAGATGCGATAGTGGGGGATCCTATCGGTCGAGAGGGCTTACTTAGCGAACTCTTGGGTGAAATGATTGCCTATACACCGGAAGAACTAATCTCGATCGGAGAGAAGGAGTTCAAATGGTGTGTTGGCGAAATGAAAAAGGCATCACGCAGCATGGGGTTCGGGGAGAACTGGAAGCAGGCCCTGGAAGAAGTCAAGAATGATTTCGTTGAGCCCGGAAAACAAACCGAATTAGTCCGAGATCTCACGATGGAGGCAATATGCTTTGTCGAAGATCATCAACTCGTCACCGTTCCGCCGGTTGCCAAGGAGAACTGGCAGATGTTTATGATGTCGCCCGAGCGACAGAAAGTAAACCCTTTCTTCCTCGGAGGTGACTGTATCATTGTCTCATATCCAACCGATGAGATGGACCATGAATCCAAGCTAATGGGGATGCGTGGGAACAACATCCATTTCTCACGCGCTACGGTCTTCCATGAGATGATACCCGGACACCATTTACAGATGCACATGATTGCGAGATATAGACCCTACCGCCAGCTATTTGACACCCCGTTTTGGATTGAAGGATGGGCTCTGTATTGGGAGTTTATTTTGTGGAACGACGAACGGTTCAAAAAGACGCCACAGAACCGGATCGGGATGCTGTTTTGGCGACTTCATCGATGCGCCCGAATTATATTCTCCATTAAGTTCCATCTTGGTCAGATGGCTCCTCAGGAGTGCATTGATCTACTCGTTGATCAAGTCGGACACGAACGTGCCACCGCAGAAGGAGAAGTGAGACGATCATTGAATGGCGATTACTCGCCGTTATATCAGGCCGGGTATATGCTGGGTGCATTGCAAATATATGCACTGCGAAAGGAGACTGTTGAGATGGGACACCTTGCCGAGAAGGAATTTCATGACCGGTTTTTGAAGGAGAATTGTATGCCAATCGAGTTGGCGCGGGCCTTGATGCAAGATCAACCGTTATCGCGCGAGCACAAGCCGTCTTGGAAATTCTATTCCTTATAAGATCTATTTCATCTCAGCCTATATGGCTAGGAGAAACAAACGAGGATATTCTTGTCCATCAATGAATTCACCTGGTGAAGACACGAACTTCCTATATAAATTGTTTATCTTGCGGCTTCGGGGGGGGCTCGCCCTTGAACTCCAGCATCACTCCTGATTTTATGGCAAAATCTTAATGGGTTTCTACTAGGATCAATTGAAACTAGTGATCCTTGTAAATAAATACCAATGAATGAATGTTTTGACCTTAGTGACGACTAGAGGATGAGTTCTATAGGTTGTGGCGTCCATATCTCATTCTCATTGACGGATTCAGATACCGGGGACTCTAACTCGCCGAACTGCTGTGCTTCCGAAGGCCGCAAGGTAGCCTAGGCGAGATATTGTTTTGGGGCGCATATAGGATCTCGCTTCTTCAGATCAACTACGTCATAGGCCCATACAAAAAGCTCGGCGCTAGCCATGTATGACCTACATAGACCGGAGCTGTACGGAGTACATACTGTACAATGTGCGCATCAGAATCAGTGTTCAACCCCGCAGTCGTATAACCACATCTGGGTAATATATCATTGTAGCTTTATTAGTTGAAGGTTTACTTTTTAAGCCGAGGTCTTTAATCTAATTGCCGATAAATAGGCATAATATTAGCTTCAATTTGCCTCAATCGTAAGTCATGTGCGCATCAAATGATCATCCATAGACCACTACCTATTATGATAGCATACTAATATTGCATCCATGGAATGTACTCATACCAACTATTCCGTGGTTGCATTGTTGGGCTAAAGGTGTCCATACGTCATGCAGCCAGGTTGGTGGGTCTGGGAACAGTCTGGGGATATGTACAGTAGAATGGCCTCACGTTTGAAGAACAGGCTATGGAAGAAAATAGAATGTTTGAGATAACCGTGTCAATCAGAGCCACAAATCATGTTCACGCATGCAGTGAAAGTGTTGTAGATCTAAATCGTATTCCCTGTATATAACTAGTGATGGTAGAAAGGTCAGAAATAGTAGAAAGCGTAAACTGTGGATCGACCTGGGGTTACAGCCACCAAGCTTCCAAGATTTTATGCTTTGGCAAACTTGGCGCTGCACTAGTTATATATGACCTGAGGTTGGAAACAGGTACGGGCCTTTCATCAATGACGTCACGACATCATTGCCCCTGCCCCAGATGGACCCCAGAACAATATAAATATCCCTTGGACTTCCCCAGAAGTCAAGTATTCTTCATCACTCATCTTCCACTATCTCAGTCAATCTTTTTAAAAGAAAACCCACATTTTCCCACTTCCAAATCACAATGGAGACCGTCAAGGTACGTGATAACCCAACTCTCTTAGTACTTGCCTTGTCATTGACTAACCAAAAATTATAGCAAGCCGCCAACTACGTCGCTGAGACCGTCCAGGGCACTGGAGCTGAGGCTTCCAAGGAGGCCAACAAGGGCGTCGCTAAGAGCAGCGATGCCAATGTCTCTACCCGCGCCAGTGCTGCCAAGGACGCAATCTTCGACAAGAAGGACGAGCTTTCCCATAACACTAAGGCCGATGTCCACAAGGGTAAGCTGAAACCATTGAAAATGCTGGTTAGAGTAGTACTAACAATGTTGCAGAGGCTGCCAAGAACTAAAGTGCCAATACTCTTATGAGCCACTTGTTCTGTACACCATCTAGGCGGAATTCCTGTCTTTTGATATGACGATGTAAATAGCGAATTAATACCATCTGCGATTCACAACGTTGATAAACAAATTTGGACAAAAGCACACTAAACATGGCACTAAGGTAGATTCGTTGACGTGAAATGTCGGCATAAGCATGCGTGGTGAATCCCAAAACGAAAAGTTACATTTCGCACATGCTAAAGCTTGCCCATTATAAGGATAACCTATTGAGCGGGCCCACTGCTGCGTTATGCTACATGGCATTTTGTGGAAACGCAAGAAACACACATTTAGTATACGTGTCTTCACACGTTTCAACCGAGATTAGATATAACGAGCATTTTCACAGGAGTGTAATGATATTACGCGTAGACATTGCCTATATGTCAATTTTGGGGCTACTTTTTGGGTTTCTTTGGTAGGAAGTTCCTACTCGCCCAAAGGCCAATCCCACAGCGAGATGCACGCATAATTCTTCTTTGATGACTGCGCTGCATCCTGCATCAAGGTAAGGGATATGCTTTTTCGTTGGATTGAAGTAGAAGAGAATATTTAATTTTCAAAAGACATAATTTGGCAGGAAATAGAATTGGGGTTCAAAATGTGGCTCGAAGATATTTCTCAGCCCGTACTCGACCTACGGGTCTAGGCCTTCGACCCAAAAAACTCCCCCCCCCCCCGGCTGAGGAATGGGTATGGGCGAGACCTACGGAGTACACTTACTGCACCAAGATATTCTCCACTTCTACGTATTGGCAGTACCAACAGACTCTACCGGCTGACGCGGTAGTTCATGGACCACCGGCCATAGATCGGTCCAGTATTATTGGGTGGTGGGTGCGGCTGAACTCATTCTTAGGGCGGAATGCATGAATCAGAATTGGGACTCCTAACTTCTTACTAGCCTTGCGATAAGAGACTTCATCCTTCTAATCAGCCTTGAGCGTGCGCTGTCAGAACATCGGTTGTGGTATGAAGCTCCGCGATCCTTGCTCACCCCGCTCAGCTGCTCCCGTCAGGATAACGGGATCCAGGCTTCCAACCTGTAATTGGTTTAGAACGCAAAGCAAACAAATCGACTTGGGCTTATGACCATCTGCCAAGATGAGGAGATCATCTTTTCCCAGTCCTAGATTATTTGAATCATATGACTAAATATATAAACGGCAAGAAAACCACCCACTTTATAGATTCAATCTCTCGGGCTTTTGCATCCAGTCTAAGCCTAACAACAATTTATCTATTTTGTAAGGCCCAGAGTATGTCTACGGGATCTCTTACTACATGTCCTAGGTAAAGATGTTATGTATAGCTAATGTCATACCTCCAGGGCTATCCTCCTACCAACACGATGTGTTATAACATGATAACATATACCTGCGGTCACACCCTCAAATCCCAGTCGACCATCTGCACATGTGACGAACGGGGCTCGGATATGACCTCAAGCTTCAAGTGCAAAACATCATGCACGGGGTCTTAGACCTGGTCACCATTCTTGGCCGCGCGGGAGCCTCGTGGCCCTCACCAAAGTCCTCTGGAGTAATGAGGGGTTGACGAATGGTAGCGTTCCATATATGATCAAACTTTCGGGAATATGTATCTCCGTTACTGGCAGTGTAGCTCTTACAACCTTCATGTGGTGATTAATATATATATGGCCGCTTACTTTGTGTGGACATGAACAAAATTTTGGGAAAGTTTACAATGTCTTCTGTGTTATATGTGCTTGATGCAGATTGTTTCAATAAGGAATGTACCCCAAGAAAGAGCGTGTTAGTCCCGCAAGTTTCTAGCTGTTTCATTTAAGTCAAGAAAGTGACTTGAATGGCACCCAAAAGAAATGCTTTATTCAAACAGCAGTACAGCGCTGAACCCGTAGTCTTTCCTATTTCGCAAGACCCAGGGATACTCCCTCGGGGGCGGATAAATATGATACATGCAGTCCCACCCTATAATAACTCATATATTATCTTGGATCTTGCCATATTCAGGCAGAGCCCATTTTAGCATCCATTCTGAATCGAGAATTTGTTTAGTAGTAGGGCGATTCTCAGGTCTGAATGAGAACATCGGCCTTAGCATATCGAAGAAAGCTTCCTTCTCCCTTGCATCAAATGGCGGTATATCACTATCTCGCCTAGGTTGTTGCACGCTATCCTCAAATCGATCGTCCCAAGATCGGGAAGGGTTGCGGTTTATTGGCCTACCATCCTTAGTAAATTTCAGTCGTCGCGCCTCCCACTTCCTCCACCATTCAAGTGGCAAAACACCAAGAGCATCGACATGCTCGTAGGTCATGTCATCCTCCGTCGCGAGAAAGCCTTCAAATAATGGCCGTTGGGCTATGATAGACCATATCGTACAGGCGAGAGTCCAAATGTCCGATGAAAAAGAAAGAGGGTCATTTGTTCTGCCATTCAAAATAGGCGGTATACCACTTCAAGAAGGAGGTATAATAAAATAGGAAGGCGGTAGTAGAAGGGGTGTTAACACTTTTTCGAAGTCACTGTAAGGACATTGGCATCCCGGAAAATTTAGAAAATTTAGAAAATTTAGTCAAATTTAGTTACAACTAAATTTCAAGGAGAGTTGATACAGAAATACAGAGAGTTGAACACCGTTGATTGGACCCCCTATTTTTACGATACGGCACCGACAACCAAAGACAAACACCTCAAAACTGCCTTTGGACGCCAGGAACACCCAAGGGCACAACGTACCTACATTGCCCAGGTGTACCTACATGAGTTCATGTCTTGGGTGGTACCTTGGACCCGACAATCGCAATGTTCCAGACTATTTCTACTTCGGGCAATTGATTGGTGTGCCACTTGACGTAAGCTGGTGGACTGCCAATGATATGATAGTGGATGGATCATCAGTTGAAACGTGTCAGGGCACCACTGTGAACGTCAGTTGATGTTGACGCAAAAATCTGATCCGAGCCGTGGGAACAGCATCGATTGTACTCGGTGTGAGGACTCCATATTGAAGAAAAGTGGCTCTTGTGGCTCCCTCTCCCAACGGCGGAGATCAGCGACGCTAAGTCAGGCCAAGAGTCCAATAGTAACTCCATGACCCAATTCTAATAATAACCAGTCCAGGCCAAACGGATTCCACCTTTTTTTCTTTCATGCGTGCGCATTATCTTTGTCTCACCTCTCGTTTCCCCCGTCTTTCTAGAATCTCCCATTCCCCTCGTTTTAATCCATTCCCTTTCATCTTCATGCTGGGTTCTTGATTTCCTCCGGCCACTCGTTAATGCCGGATTGCCCACTCGTTTCTGCTTTGACGTAATGGATCTACATCACTTGAGCTTGCATGCTCGTACGGATGGGACGGATACTTTCCTCGAGCTTATTGCGAATCCATTTCGCTCTGCAGTAAGTTTTTTAAATTGTTTCGAGAAAAGAACACTATGCTGACAAGCTACAGTTTACAGTTACTGCTATTTGGGCCTCGCTAGGCACCTCGATCGGCGTCACTGTCCTCCTCGCCCTCCTCTTCTCTCTTATTCGACCCCGTCACTCACTTGTCTATGCGCCCAAAGTCAAGCATGCGGACCTCAAACACACGCCGCCCCCGGTGGGCAAGGGCTTCTTCGCCTGGGTCAAACCGGTCATCAATACACGGGAATCGCAGCTGATCGAGACTGTCGGCCTGGACGCCGCAATCTTCCTCCGATTTACCAAAATGTGCCGTAACATCTTTATCTTTCTCAGCATAATCGGCTGCCTCGTCATGATACCGGTCAATGTCACACAGAGCAAGGGTTCTACCGACTCATCGGCGTCTTCGGCATTCAATATGATGACACCCCTCAACATCACCAACCCCACGGCTATTTGGAGTCAAGTGGTATGCGCCTGGGCTTTTGATCTTATTGTTGTTTTCTTTTTGTGGAGGAACTATCGCGCTGTACGGAACCTGCGGAGGCAATATTTCCAAAGCTCTGAATATCAGCGCAGCCTGCATGCCAGAACCTTGATGATCACGGACATCCCTCCCAACAGTCGTACCGATGAAGGTATTCTGCGGCTGACCGACCAGGTTAATCCAACCGCGGCCCTCCCGCGAGCTGCGATTGGCCGTAATGTCAGGGATTTACCCCGGATCATCAAAGAACATGAAGAGGTTGTCCGAGAACTCGAGTCCGTTTTGGCAAAATACCTTAAGAACCCGGACCGATTGCCCGCGAAGAGACCGACTCTACGTCCCCCTCGCCGACAACGCAACCAACTCCCCGGTGGCAAAGTGGACGCGATCGATTATCTATCCGTTCGAATTCGCGTCTTGGAGGAGGAAATCAAGCACGGACGGGCGTCGATAGATCGCAGAAACGCAATGCCCTACGGCTTTGCCAGCTGGGACAATATCGAGCACGCTCATGCCGTGGCATGGAACGCTCGCCGGAAGCGCCCTGAGGGCACCACTATTGCTCTTGCGCCGCGGCCCAGCGATATCATCTGGGAAAACCTACCACTTACAAAATCGGCACGCAAATGGAAGCGACTAGTCAATTCCATCTGGGTGACCTGCTTGACACTTGTGTGGATTGTTCCTAACGGTCTGATTGCTATTTTCTTGTCCAATCTGTCCAATCTGGGTTTGGTATGGCCGGCATTCCAGACCTCGCTGTCAGGGCACCCGAACGTTTGGGCTGCTGTCCAGGGTATTGCATCGCCCGCACTGACTTCCCTCGTGTATCTGGCGCTTCCCGTCATCTTCCGTCGTCTTTCTATTCAGGGTGGCAGCAAGACTAAAACATCCCGAGAGCGCCACGTGCTGGGGCATCTGTATGCGTTCTTCGTTTTCAACAATCTGATCGTCTTTTCACTCTTCTCGGCAGCTTGGTACTTCGTGTCGTTCGTGGTTGACAAAACCAAAAACCACGAAGACGCCTGGCATGCCATCTTGGAAAGCCGGATGTATGCTAAGTTGGTAAGCGCTTTATGCACCGTGTCACCGTTTTGGGTGACGTATCTTTTGCAGCGCAATCTCGGCGCTGCTATCGATCTTGTGCAGCTGGTTACTATGGTTTGGGTCTGGTTCGCCAAGACTTTCCTCTCACCCACACCCCGACAGGCAATCGAGTGGACCGCACCGCCACCATTCGACTACGCCAGTTACTACAACTACTTCCTCTTCTATGCCACCGTGGCTTTCTGTTTCGCTACCTTGCAACCCATTGTACTGCCGGTGACGGCATTGTATTTCGGCGTGGACGCCATGTTGAAGAAGTATCTCTTGATGTACGTGTTTGTGACTAAGAATGAGTCTGGTGGTGCATTTTGGAAAGTTATATTCAATCGCCTGATTTTCGCTACTATTCTTGCCAACGTGATCATTGCTCTCGTTGCCAAGTCGAGCGGCACGTGGAACATGGTCTTCTGCGTGGCCCCCCTACCTTTCTTGATGATTGGGTTCAAGATCTATTGCGTGAAGACGTTTGACTCCGATTGCGAGTTCTACAATCGTGCAAACCTAAGCGATGCGGAGGCTATAGGCGCGAACACTTCCGACAAGAAGGCGTCAGACCGTCTGAACAGCAAGTTCGGACACCCTGCTCTGTACAAGCCACTTTTGACACCAATGGTGCACGCCAAGGCAGCTGCGGCACTAAAGGAAATCTACCAGGGTCGTCTGGACCAGGGAGACACAGGCGGCGAGTACTCAGACATTGCCATGAACCCGATGCTTGCATCGCAACCCGGCAAGTCCGCCGAACCAGCACCATTCGAGGTCGTCCCGGAGAACCACCTAGACTTCTCGTACTACAAGGATCGAGCAGACTTCCGAGACGAGTTCGGAGGAGGCATCTACGGCCGACCCGAGGATCTGATGACAGAGCGTTCGCACACACCCCGCAGTACTCTGAGAGGCGAGTGGTCTCCCGGCTCATCGCGTGCCTCATCACCAACACCCTCTCTGCCATCAATACCACCGCTACATACGCACAATGGTTACGAACACCCCGACCCGACAGGACTGGTCCACCCGGCCTTCCGTGTGCCGCTATCGCGGGGCGACAGTGGCACAGGAGCATACTCAAACACAGACGAGGTGGAATCCAGACTCCTCAACCATGCACAGGCTCCTGGGCAGATGGATATCACGAATCCGCTCGGTCGCTGGCGGACCGGTGGTTATGGGCCCGTCGGCCAGGACGACGAGCCCTCGTACACCTCCTACGATGCTTACCGTCCACAGCGGTAAGCTGTGATTTGTTAATATCGGCTTTGCTGAGCCAGCATGTGCATTTTTGTATAGCCTTTTTGTATTCTAGCCTGGCGAACATTTCTCGGGGGGACTTGGCGTCATTTTTAAACACGAAGTTCACGATTAAATCTTTTTGTCTGCTTAAGTCTGTCTTGGAAATCACTATGTCCACATAAAATGGGCAATTTCAACATCGAAGTATCAAACTTTTCCAATTCCCACGGTTCTCGAATACTAGTCCAGCTCTTAATTCAACAGCATTCTTACCCATAGTGCTAGCAAACACCCGTGGACTACTACGAACTCATTACACACAACCATTAGACAGAAATGGGCCAATAGAATCCATTTTGAAATATGAAGTTTTCTCAGCTCACGTTAGACTTTATAAAATGCGCAACGGCAGCAAGTTCACGTTTCCCACTTGGAACCACATGTCCACCCGAGTGCCATATAACAATCTGTTTCTTTTCATCCCCCACCTGACAATTTTGCACCAACCTCATCGACGCATTCTCATCCACAACGGTATCCATACTCCCCAAAAAATGTAGCACAGGCGTCCGAATGACGGGATCGTAAAAAGCCCGATAATCCGGATGAGAAGCAACATAACCCGAAATACTAACGACGAACTTGAGCGGCGGGTGTTCAAGCGAGGCGAAGCAAGCGGGATATGGAATCCCAGCCTCCGCTTCCAATCTGGCAAATGCATCTTTTCGATTTCCTTCTAACAGCGAGGCGACCATAACAGCCGCCGCGGCCCCCTGACTAAAACCAACAATCCCATCGAACGGCCCGGAATCCTTGAGAAGAGACGCAATAGACTCCAGGGCGCCTTCTAGTCCCGGGTAAAGTCCTTCGATGGATTCAGATTCGAACCAGCTCCATGAACCATGCCGATTGCGCAGGTCGGATGTGGCACCCGTGGAGGACTCTAGTGCGAATGGAGCTGTCGGGTACACGAGTTCAACTCCAGGCTGGAGAGGGCCGAGGGCTCGGTGTATTAATTTTTCTAAGGCTTGGAGTTTTGCTCGGAAGAGTTGGCCGGATTGGCGGGATCCTATAGTGGTTAGATTTACTTCGTAGTCACTGCGCGATTCTGGCGTTAAATACCGTGGATCATCAAGATTTTCATGGTTGGGTTAGATATCTAAGGGAATAAAGAGAAATTTTACTTGATGTACATGGGAAGGGGTATATATTGTGGGAAAGAGAAATACAGGCTATTTTACCACTAGACCATAACTAAAATTCGGTTTCTGTTTAGGGCCTAGGGGGCTTATATTTTTAGTTCGACACATATAACTAGCAGACTTGCAGTTTTAAACTAATGTGTGCGCATCCCGCCGCCTGGGATGTAACTGCCGAAGCGATAGGCTATAATAACCGGCGATGCGCGCTGCGCACGCTATGGCTCTTCAACGCAAAAAGGAAAAAGTGCTAGAAAAGACAGGCGGAGTTGAGTGGAAACATGAAACTCGGACAGTAGATCCTGATATGGGGCCGGAAACCCCGGTCTCCAGACTTCTCACCCGCAACACTCGCACTCACCTTAGAGTGCCTCTTGGAGACTGAGGGCGCATTGAGTATTGACCATGCAGAATAATCGATTAAACATCTGAGTGGACGGGAAGCCCTGTTTTTCACACTCTATGGTCGTACATACTCGTTACTTCGATGGAAGTGTATAATGCAAAGATTCATGGAAAATCCGATTTCCAAACGGGAATGAGTGTCTACCAGTGCGGTGGAGGCATCTGAGATGCACAAATTGATTCGGGTAGCCCCCAGTTTGATGATGTTGACAGTTAGCCATTGTTGGAGATAATGGGCGATTGAAACACAAGGGCTGTTTGAGAATTGTCGCGAAAGATAGATTCAGATGCTTCGTTGGCTACCGAAGTTCCGACAGACGGAATCATAGATGTATCTCGGTCACTTGTTTGTGACGAAATCGCAGTGTCCCCGGTTGAATCTGCTGTTGAAAGTCTGGCTCTGGGAGAGACATCGGACTCTGGCGAGACCGATTACCCGCACGTATTAGAGGGGGAGGGCTTGACCAGAGCGCCATGAAGCTGAAGATATTCCCTGATTTTCGGCCATCTATTCCCCACGAGCCCAAGCGGCGTCATTATCGTATCAGACACACAATTTATCTCGGCACCAGCTTCGACTAGTATCTTGACGACTTAGAGGGGGCTCATATGGCCAACTAAAGCATGCTTATCAACCCCAGCTTGGATCAGGAGATTCGAGATCTATTCATGCCTTTCCCATTCACAAATCATGGCCCAAACCGCTTGTCCGGGGGTTTCAATAGGTATCTGCTGTTGTATAGAAGACACTACGGGGATAACAATCACGTAACCTTCGGGGGAGTCGGGGGTAGCAACTGCGGGTTGTCAGCCTTTGAACCAAAACTGCAAGACTAGATGGGTGGCAGCCCTCTGCTTGAACTCTATCCACGGTAGTGACATGTCGCGATATCTCCTTGTTGACTGCACTAGTGTCCCAGGGGCCGCCTGTAATGACAACGTTGCTTTTTTTTGCCGATTTCCGTTCACTTTCTGATGCGATGACCAACCTAATCCCAAGCTCGACCGGATTGTTCTTGCGGAAATCTCAATTTGTAAAGGCACGTTGATAAACGCCTTTGCTATAGAAGACATCAGCGCTGGCAAAATAGATACATGTAACCATGAAAGGCGGGACAGCAGCCTACCTGGCGAGAATACCATACTCCTCCTCGATCTAGCCCATTACATAGCTGAGAGCTGAGTGTTCTGTTCTCATCAAGATAAAGCTTTGATATAATGTTTTTCTGTGGTGACAGTAAATCCATGTTGACAGAAAATTAATCAAGTAGATGGAAATATTTCGCTAAATAATTACCCAGAGTTTAGGATGGCAATCTGGAATTTCCGAGTGAGCTTTTGAGCCCTTTCACGCTTCAAGATATAAGAGAGAATAACTGGCTATATACCATTGTCTCGCCCCACTGCCAAGGCTACTTGAAACCAATGAAGAGTCGTCAGTCTATTTATTCGGTGTGACCGAACGCTCCCTAGTTATCTATTGGATCTTTGCAGCTGTAGTTCGTTACGTATAATTATCTAATCAAATTCCTTTTGATTTTGCCCCTAGATTGTACACTTCAGGGCTACTTCCTACAGGATCCCGGGATCCAGTGAGGCATTCGAACTATGACTATGTATTTTCCTATGCCAATATTCCTCCCAGATTCCTTATTATTTAAGCCCTCCCCAATTCCTAGATATTGACCATGCTCTTTTCTTTAGAATACACCCGTGTTCCAAAGTTCTCGCTATATCAAGTTCTAGTTGTCTTTCTGACTTTGACTTGATTTGTTTACTTTTGTCAATATTATTCGTCATGGTGCGCGCTTTTTCCGACGAATACTCTGATGCCTTCCCTTTTGAAGAAGAGACTCTTCCCCATACTTCGGCCTTTGTTCAAAACACACCCCGAAGCATACTTTCCTACTTCGAACAGAATCCTCCATTTCCAAGTTATGTCTATGATCCTTATATGCAATCTCCATGGACCTTGGGTGGCTTCGACCTAAACATTCCTGTTACGTCCCCTCAAATTGGCATACACTCTATCGCCGGATGGGTCAGAGACAACGCTTCGCCAGCTGGGGCAGAGAACATGACAAATTGTTCTTGCATTGAATTTGAACGCTCTGATCCAAATGACCATCAACAAGGGCAATCTTCAGCCCCAACAGGAGACCTGTTGAAGGAGGCAACCTATGAGGTCAGTCTACCTGATAACCGCACGTCACGTAGGCGTCGCTGTAAACCAAACACCAAGTAAGTTTGCTCGATACAGGTATCTATTCTTTTCCCATTTGTCTAAATTAACAAATTTCCCCAAGGGGAAGCCTCGCCAGTCCTATTAAATGTGATTGGAAAGATTGCACAAACCCACGCCTGTTCACCCGTGATGCATCGTTGTGGCGGCACATCAAAGAGAAGCACATATTCCCTGGCGCATTTAAATGTTCTTATCTGTCGTGCGATATGTCATTCGGCCGAAGGGACAAATTGATTGAGCATTTACGATCTGCTCATTCCGATCGATATCCGGGAAGAAGTCCTACTGCGATCTAAATATACTAGAGTACAGTGTGGGCTTCGAGAAAGCAAGACTAAGAACACGCTAGCTACCGTCTAAAACAAAGCATATGTTTCAACCATCTCCAGTACATACCGCTATATTCTTGAGAATACCCCAATATGGGACATATCCATATGGAAGTCACGGATCAGAATATGTGTAAAAAATATAAAAAAAAGCACCACGAGGAGTATAAAGTAATTGTTTGCACTTGGATGGATTAGTTAAAACTATCAAGGACTAAGGTTGCCATACTTAGTTGATATAGGGTTCGAATACCCGAATATCAGTTAACCGCATGTATGCATACCATATGGAGGTGCATAACTATTACGAGTTAGTCATGTCTGCACAGATTGTGAAATATTGCGGTTTTGTTATTCAAGAGAATTCAATATCCCTGAGGTTACCCATATGTTGTACATTATACAGACAGATTTCTAGAACAACATTCTCCACTTTTTGTAGTAATCGTATGTACCCTTAGTGCAGGTTCGCCGCCCCGGGGCGGTCTCTCTTAGTAGTATATTAGGATGATCCCCATTTGATATCTAACTATTTTGCAGGCTCATTCGTCACTTATGAGAAGTTTGGGACAATTTATCCCGGGGTCAGAAAGTCGGGGGAGTGGAGACCACGCTATTTAAGCTCATTTCAAGGGTCCACAGAGGAAGAATCAACACTAAGTTATGCAGGGGCCAGCTTCCAACGCCAGGATTGACTCAACCTTGGCGGCCTCTGATTGATGCTATTCGATCGAATTTTTGCACTATACAGTAATCTGTTTAATCAATTAGACTTTGCGGTGGGATCCGAATAAGCAATACATAATTGCTTCTCACATTTAAGCCTCGGGCCTTCACTCCACGTGAAGTAAAATTTCCTGGCCTATCTTGTTAGCCTGGTCTAGCGGATTAAAACTTGGCATAGAATAGCTGAGTTATATTTGCAATTCATTTCTTGGAAAAGGAGGTTTTTGGTACTGTTAGCTCTTGCAGTAGTCTGAAAAAGTTCGTCTCAAACACTAGTGCTCTTTTCCATATCAATGCGTAAAGATCATCCGTACAAGATACTCTCGCTCCCCCAGGCTCAATTTCGGATTCCGTTAGCGCCGACGCCCATGCATAGCTTACAGAGTGTCTCTGTAGAGGAACATCCAGCCCTAGTGGGTCGACTCTCAACTATGGATTTGAGACCTGTAGGGGAAAAGAATAGCCACGTGACACTCGCGGTCTTGTGATGTAAGTTGCTTCGCTTCGCTCCGCAAATATATAGAATTAGTTACTCGGTAGTAGCTAGTAGAGATCCTACTTTCCTTATAGTAATTAAATTATATCTAGCTACTGTACTCTTAATATAGCTATCCTAGTATAAGTAAAGCTTCTTTTCCTCCTTATCTCTAAAAATTTATATATTTAAGAACTAGCTTATATCTAGTTTATATAATTCCTATTACTTCTTAATCTCTCCATCTAGTATACGCTTACTTAGTATAGTCGGAATAATTTTCTATAATAATATTATCGTATCAAAGAAGATAATAATACCGGTAGTAATAAAGATATATATATGAGGATCTAGGGAAAGGAAATTCGATTCTACTAAAGATTTCCGCCTTAGCGTAGTTTATTATTTATTTAATTGATTATAAAGGATCCTATAGAGGATCCTATTTCGGGGATTCTTTTCTTTCTTTTCTTTTACTCCTTAAACTTAGTATTCTCATTAAAATATACTCTTTCCTTTAAAGAACTAGCTAGGCAACAAGTATACTCTGAACCCGTCTAACCTAAATATGACTAGTTTGCAGTGCGTAACACTGTCTACGAAGCTCTATTCTATAAGCGTATATGATAGCTATACGCTTGGCTAGGGATAACTCACCTTTCAGGCTATTTTCCACTGCTACTATGGCATAGGAAGGTTATGGAAAAGAGAGAAAAAAATGATACCTCGTTGTCGGGATGATATTAAAGTGGGGTAGTGGGTAAGGACTTATAATACATATTTAGAATGCGCTTAGGATGCTGCTGATTCAGCCTGGCATAGTGGTAAAGTACCGGTTCTCAGATCGACATATTAACTTGTACTCTCGATACTGCTGACACCTCGATACCCCACTTCGCTGCGTATGTGCCATTTCAGATGATCATCCTTAACTCGCGGGGCGATTGATCCCCCACGGAAACATGCTCGACAGTTGATACGAAGAAAAGGGACAAATGAACGACCTCGAAGAAGCGATCCGGGTGTCTCGCCAGGCGGTCGCGGCCACTCCGGATGACCATCCTGATCTCCCAATATTGTTGTATAACCTTGGGAACAAGCTTCAAAGTCAATATGAAAAAACAGGACGGATGGATGAGCTTGACGAGGCGATCCGCCTATCTCGTCAGGCAGTTGAAGCAACTCCTATCGAGAATCCCAGCCTTACGGGATGGCTAAGCACTCTCGGAAACATGCTTGAAACTCGATACGGGCGGACAGGACATTTGGATAACCTCGAAGAGGCCATTCGAGTGTCTCGTCAGGCGATTGAAGCAACTCCTGTTGGCCATCCCGATCTTCCAATATTTCTAAGCAACTTTGAGAACAAGCTACAAATACGATACGAACAAACAGGACGGATGGGTGGCCTAGGTGAGGTGACTAGCCTATCGCGTCAGACGAGTCAGGCCGCTCCTGATGATCTGAGGCCTCCGCCATCTGACTCGGCCCATATGCACAACCGATACGTATTTTCTCCATACGGAGGTTCCTACTACCCTCCATCAAAGTATGCTGATCTATCGGAAACTCCACGAGAGCGAACTATGTCCCGCCACCGGGTGTCCCGCCCGCGTCCATCCTCCTCGTTCCATAGTAACCCGCCTACAGTTGACTCGGGCACCTACTCACCCTTGTACGGCGACAATGAGCCTGTGGAGCGTCCTGTGGAGCGTGGTACCTCACGAGACGGATATGGCCGCGCCGTAGCAGCGTACATACAAGACCCAGACGAAGACTTCTACCGCATGCCACCAACAATACCCCTTCCAATGCCCAAGGTGAAGGGTAAGGCCGCCCCGCAGATTCATGAGGCGAGACACTTTAAGCCACACGAGGCCCAAACGAGCCCTGCTATGCCCTCGCAGCGTCGCCCATCCAGAAGTATGGACCGGGACATAGAGCGATATCGATATCTGGACAGATTTAACATAGGGGATCTTAAAGCAGAGCTGCCTGTGGTGTCGGATCGATCTTATAGTCAAATGTCAAGGGAGACTGCCCTGTTAGAGAGAGCCAACAGCCTACGGGATAGCCACAGAAGATCTACGTCCTACCAGGATAATCGACGTGGTGCCCAGGTAGCTGTGGCAAGCTCTAAGCGGCGGCAGCCAACCACGTACAACTACAAGGATGAGCCATCAAGCAATATGGGCGACAATCTAGAAGATCGTGACCATGAAATAAAGAACTACCAGGCAGCACGGTCTGGCCGAAACCCGACTGACGGTGAGCCTTCCTCCGCAGAGGCCATGCTCCCCAAGGCAACCACCAATCGCCAGGGTCAGAGGAGCCGGTCTAATAGCAGCGGTGGCAGCGGTGGCAGCGGCACAGACGAAGAAACGGAAGAAGACAAGGAAACGACTCTCTTAGCAAATGGAGTGAAGATGGGATTTGACCGCAAAACGATTGAAGAACAAACCATCAACATTCTTGCCGGGGAGACCCACAACGCCATACGATTGAACATCGCTGGTGGGCGCCGACCCAAGCAGTATGTCACTAGATCTAACCTTGACTATGCGGGCGGTGCAAGCCGCCGGGAGTTTGAAGATTTACGACGAACCCGAGGAGACAGTCGTTCGGAGCGTGGACTCCGCCGTTCTAGCCAGTCTACCTACGGAAGTACCCGCACGATGCACCAAAGTCAATACGGACAAACACGGCGGATAAACAGCATCGAAGAGGCGAAACGCTTGTCACCCCAGGCGGTCGACCCTGGTCATAAAGCTACCAGTCCCGAAATGACCCACGAAATCAGCAGCAGCCAAGCTACGGGTGATAGAATAGTGGACAAGCGTCTACCAGGCTCAGACAGAGATCCAGGTTACGCATCTATGTTGCATACTACAACGTCGACAGTATCCTCGGAACCAGCATCTCCCGTCAATTTTGAAATGTTGCCTTCTGAACAACCCAGCAAGATTGAGCATATAGATGACCACGAAATTCAGTCCCCCGTGTCTGACATTGATAAAATCGGCTCGCAAAAGTCCGATGAAACCGCTTATGAAGAAAAGACAGGCAAAGCTCTTTTACGGGTTTTCCTGGCCGAAGACCCTCTTTTCAGAACACTGTGTGAGAAGGCTATACTGCAGATGGGCCAAAATCGATTTGCAAAGAATATGAGGCGCTTACTAAAATCCTACTACAAAAACCTCTCTGTAGAAGCGGAGAGCGAGGCTGAGAGAGCCGCCGCAAAGCTGCTACGGAGTAGGCAAGGAAGACAACGGATCAGCCAGCAACTTGCTGTTTATATCCTTCAACAAAACGACGAAAACTGGATTGTCCACAGACCGGATCTTCAAGTTGCTCCAGAAGATAAGAATAGGGTCGAAGCATGGCTAACATGCAACTCCGAAAGGCCACTGTCTGTTCTCGAATATGAAGCTCCAACGCCTGGGATTGAATCTTCGACCTCATGTTCTGAAAGCGACTCCGATGTAGACGAATTCCCAAATGTCTCCGATTTGAAACTTACCTTGAGAGGAGCTTGGTCATTCCAGACTCTTCTCAGGGATTTCATGTTGCTTTTTTTGTCTCCTGAGTTAAAGACTGTGCTTCTGTCGATCCCTAAGCGTCATATATGGTTGTCAGAGGCACAGGACCTGTCGTTCGTGAATTGGGTAAAAGTATGGATAGAAGACAGGACTGAAACAACATGGAATTGGTGGCCGCTCGAGTCAGCAAAGCAACCACTGAAGGATGGCGAATCTCGAATGTTCTGGATATGTGTAAGTTCAAACGTCCTCGTATGCGAAGAAAAATACTGAGATCTCTAAGAGCTGTGGTAAGCGGCAGTGGGAAGAAATATCCCCGGATCAACGTGAGCTAGTGAAAGAGATACTCGCTCTGTCGGATGATCAACCCCAATCGCGGTACGTTTGCAGAACAAAGGGCCAAGAATACAACCTGCCAAACTGGCTCGAAGGCATATTTCGAAAAAGACCAAAATCGGAACTAGCTGCACAAGCATCAACAGCAGCCCGAAAATATACACCATCCGAGAATAACGCGTCCGCATCGCAACCGAGGCCGGTTTCTTCGTCCAATGGCGATGGTCAGTCCAGCGCGTCAGCTTTAATCCAGCCACATCGTGGAAACCTTGCCTCGGAACAGCGAATCAAACGATCTCCTTCAAACCTAGCTATGCAGGCTCAGAGCTGGATTTTATTTGGCATTTACGGCTCGAGGAAAACTCTGACACCAACCCAAATTTTAGTTGACAACCAAAGTACCGATTACAGTGTCTTCCAAGAATTGAGAGATTGCTATCACATTCATCGGGGCCGACTCAGGCTATGGTTCTCTATTTGGCGCCTAGAGAACTGCGAGGTCGTCAAAGTACGATGAGGAAGTCCCTTCTTTGACGCTTTATACCCTGAGCGCTGACCGTAATCAGTTCAATAGATTGACGCTTGAACGTATGGTTCGCGAGCACGAAGAACTTCCCACCCACCAGGATTATCAATATAACCCCCGTGCAGGAGCTACAGGGGCAAAGAATCCTCCAATATCACCTCATTTGTTTGAAGCTTTGTTCTACAGCTGTCGCTTCCCTTGCTCTTGGCCGATACCACATGACTGCATGCATGCTCCGACCGGTGTAAAGAACCTAGAACGCATCCCGAAAAGAAAGAGGTGTTTTGAAAGAGATCAAACTTCTCCAATATGGGGCCTCGAAACCGTCTTCGCGGTTTCTTTTGCCTATGTCCTTATGTACCATTGTGTCATAGTAGCTGGCCCCTTCGGGTTTTTCGTGTGGTGGATCAAAGTCCATCCAGGTGACTTGCAAGATGCCTCTATTCCGCTTGCCATCGTCCTGGGTGCGCTCTCTCTTTTTTGGAGTGGTGCTGGAATCCTCACCGGCAGGAAAAGACATTGAATATTGTCTTGGCTCAATTCAATCAGGGTGCACAAGTTTTTCAGATGCTGATTTAAGTGCTAGTCCAGACATTGACCAAAGTTCAACATTTTGAGAATTCATAGATTCACCGACAGGTAATCGCTCCGTTGACAATTCCCTATGATTGAGTTCCGGGCCGGGCCCACTGGGTCTTGGGCTTCGGCCATCAATTAGCGTCGGGATGGGCCGGAGGCTTTTAAATTCAAACCACAAAGTCCTGGTACACTCTCCCAAGTATATCAGTTGACAGAGATTATCGTATGTTGTAGCCAGGTTTAATGTGGGTTTGCCCATAAACTGAGTGGAGCTCGGTTGTCAATCGCTCTTTAAAGCTTTGCCAAGCTCGTCGGGGCCGGGCAGACGATGTGGATTTTTTTATTTTTATTTTTATTTTTGGGACGTTTGAGACATTTGAGAACACGCTAAGCAATTGGGAGAAGCCTAAACCAGACCACCCTCTGGGGCGTATATTGGAACCTATTGGGTTCTACAAACATCCAATCTTATATGCCCCCCCCCCCGTTTCTAACCCTTAGATACTAGCTGCTAACCCGTAATGTGAAGGTTCGTGCTCGGGGCTCTGGCATCCTTCTATCTATTTGCTTTTGTTTGTCGTTATTACTGTGATGTAGATTCATGTCGGTATTACCGCTGGAGCATGATGTTCCCTTTATCATTCTTTTTATTCATGTATGGGATGTGGGGTCAGGGCGCCAAACAGCTTGCGGCGGAAAGCAGGCAACGAGAAGAACGCGCGTAGCAAAATGAGAAAATATCGGTGTCTACCTTTTGAAACAGAGAGCGGAAGAAATATTTTAGAATTCGAGCATGTTCTTATCCCTTTTTGGCCACCTGGCGTACTTAAAATGAACTTTGATCGCCTTTCATCACAATCGTGCTCTCCTTCAGGTGGAAAGTACACCAATTGTCAAATGAAGATGAGAACAACCCCGGAAGGGCATTACCAGTGCCTGTAAATTACTTAAGAACTAAGTGATACCCAGGTGTGTAGTAGAAGTAGGCCTTTAGCATGGTTGGCAGATCCTCCAGGGCTGACACATCTGATTTCAAAGCAACTTCAACTCGACATCCCTCATATTAAGCTATAATGCTTTCTGGCATTCTATCATTGCCTGGGCCTTTGACCCGCCTTTCCTACCAGTCTATGCCGACTACTACGTTCTGACCGGTTTGAGCTTCAGTACATACGGATGGCAAAAAGAAAAATCATGATGACCCGACCCATAAAGGCTTCCATTTCAGTGAGATCGCCACCCCCGCCAAACTGAAACCCAGGGAACCTGACTGTGTGCCTTGCAGATCGACTGTGACGAATATGAGTGGGCGAAGTATGAACTCCATCGCTGCGCTATGCCACCTCTCAGATCATTTCATTTGGAACATATGCGAGGATCGTGTAACACAACTTTGGCGATGCCTGGGAGTTTTTATGGATGGGAAGAACCCGCATTTGTTCCACTTTACGGACCGTTGGAACCTACCTATGTCCTATACCCAAATAATGGGAGTGGTATACGTGCCCTGAGAAATCCTGATCCAATCAAAACTGCAGAGATTACCGTCATTCACAAAGACCAATGCGATATAAAAAGAGCGCCTCTCAGGGATTGGCTCTTTGTACACATATAAGATGGTCGTGGTATGAAGGGGAGATATACAGCCACCCATACTGTCTAAAATGTCATCGAAGGCGACTAAGCAGCATCCGTCTGCAGATGATACCTTAAGCATTTACAGTCGCTCACCGGAATCTCCGAAAGACATATTGAGTTTCATGCCAACAATACTTCCTCCTCGGCACGATATACCGGAAATAAATTCTCTAATTATCAGATTGCACTAGCCCGAGGTTCTACTATAGTTAGTTAGTTAGTGATTTAGTTAGTTAGCTATACGTAGAACTGGCATTCACCCGCGCCACGGGTCCAAGATCAGGAACCTCTAAATTGATTGATATATTCTTTGAAAAAAGAGTGGAAGACGTTAAGCATTGTAGTTCATTGGACAGACACCCGAACTGTCAGGCCGTGATCACGTGAGTATTCAGGGTCCAGCCAATCAGGTCGAAGTACCTTAATCGTGGAATCCAAACTGAGCCAATGCAATTTGATTCTCTACATTTCATTTACCAACTGAGGATCAAAAGCGTTTGGGTGGCCCTAAAAAAATGAAGCAACCGTGAAAAGGGAGCTGTCAGCAAGGGTGGACCGAGTCGCCGAGTAGCAGCGCGCCAGAGCACTGACACAGCTCCAACCCACCAGGAACCGTAACCTCCCGAGGGCTCACCAGCACTCGAAATCCACACCAAAATGGCGTGGTACTCTATCTTACCATCGGAGCTTACCCACCTCGAGAGCTGGGCGGCTCGGATCTTTGTGAGTTTCCTTTTTTCTCTCCCGCCTTTAGCCCTTAGCCCCTTCACTATGACGCAGTTGCTGATTTACCCCGGATTCTGCAGTTCTTCCTCGGTCTCATCACCATTGGCCCCTGGGCTTTCCTCGTATTCCTCGACGCAAGCATCTGGATATATCGACTGATCCTTTGGGAAGTCCCCTGGATTGGTGGACGAGCACGTGGTCGACAGCGCCCTCGCGCGCCGAGCCTGAATGAACGTCCGAGCGGGCAACGGAGGGCATTTGGACTGCGCGGCGTGGAGACGGATACCGGTGACAGCCAGGGGGGAGATCGAGATGCTTCTCCATTGCCGAAAAGGGAGAGAGATCGTGATGACCCTGGGAAGGAGAACGTGAGCCCTGTTGTCCAAATATCGAATCCACATTTGAGTGGAGATGGTGTCTTGAAACAAAGGAGCTCGGGGCAGATATGATGACTGGGTCCCTTTCCTCGTGAGATTTGACGATGTTTACGATCTTGTGGTATTGTTATGTCTCTTGTCTATGGTTTATGTCGTTTTGACTATTGAGCAAACATACATTTCTCTTATTGCCGTTGAGTCTCGAATCGTGCAACACCGTGAGTCTTCCAAGGTTGCATGTACATGACTTATACTACATCGAAGAGTGTGCGATACCAGTAGAGTATAATCTATTACACAAAATCGGTATTAGCAGTGATTTGCCTATCTAATAATTCCCCAACTATCTTATCTCAAAATACCAACCCCGCAGGACCATCTCGGCCTTGTGAGTCAATCAGAAAACATGGACGGACAGTGCAGCCACTCAAAGTAGAGAGAGATAAGCCCATAAAGTTTCCAGCCCAAGTTCGCTTTCTCGTGCGGAGATCATGCGGAGTTAGTAGTTGTTCTGAGAATAAATCTCTCTATTGAGCAAGGATTGTAAACTTCATCAGCTCAGATCTACTCCATAGCGCTTTGAACATGGCAGAAGCTCCATACAAACTAAACATTGATGCACCATGGCCTATTATCCCCAGAAATCTGCTCTATGTTCTTATCGTGGGCTTGTGTGCTGCGATGTGGAGGATTCGACAATATCGCAAGGCTAATTCATACGGGCAAACGAAGACAACTTATTCGGATAATAAGACATCACCAATCATACCTCTGGAAGGATTCAATTGGGAGGAGACCGAGCAGTTACAATATCGGCCATTCAAAGGAAAAGACAAATATAACTTGACCATGGGTGAGTTCCCTACTCTTCCGATCTTATACAAATATGCTAGATCACAACACTCGACACACATCCAGACTAATGCATCTTAGCACTTGAGAACCTCGACCCATCAGAGCTCCTCCCGATGGACAAAACCTACCAGGACCGACTCGCTCTCCGCAAGTCCATACTCGAGCAGCACCATGATGTCGTGGTAGCAATCAACAACGATCAAACACCAGAGGAAGACCCTCGCATCCGCCCCGCCATTAGCGAACTATACAATTTCGTGCTAGGAACATACCTACCAACCCGATACCCGAGCATGTTCAAGCTAAACGCCGAAAGCTCGATCTTCCAAAACCTGGTAACAGGCACAACATGGCCAACAACCCTGTCACCAAGGACGCCAGCAATCCAGGCCCTGGAAATCCTGTCCCAGACAGTAGACGATGATTTCCTGATCCTGCTCCCCGAGCCCTCATCCGATAGCGAGGAACAACCGAAATATGTACTACAGGCATTTGTAACCTGCTTTCCGGCTGGCTTCAACACGCGCAAGAAACTCGGGTTGCGTTTAGTAGATATTCATATACCGGTCCCGCGTTATCGGGAAAAGATGGAGCGCAGCATGGACAGATTCTTTGGACGCCTTCAGGTTGGGAAGTTTGTGAAACGACTCAATTGGAGTATTACTATTGAAACGGGTCTGTTTGCTGCTTTTAGTGGAACACATGCTGTGGCGGGGGAAAAGAGGAGGCTATTGAGCCCGGGGAATTGAATGTTGATCAGGTATGTTGGATGGGAGGAAGTTGATTTGCTGGGATAGCGCTGATATTATCAAAGACTGTTCTCCGATGTGAGCGTCAGACACTGCATCGGCTGCCGGTGTCCGAGGCTCTTGTCTTTACCATTCATACTTACACGTATCCGGTTAAGCAGATTAAGGATGAGGGCTGTGGTGAGGACCTGGCGAATGCGATCGATGGCTTGAAGAGGGGGAATGTGCCAGAAATGCATGCTTATAAGAAGGGAGATGTGTGGGGGGAAGCATTGAAGGACTTCCTAAGGTCCTAGACCACTGCATATATGTTGGGGTTCTGTGCAAAATCCATGAATTATATAGTTCCCTAGTAACAATTCTGTCCATGCGGAGCAGCTAAGACTATGTTAATTCTTGGTAGCTAATGCATGTACCACCTATACCATTATATCATAGGGGATATGCCATTTATACCTAATTTGTAAGTCAAATGTCAGTTAACTACCTATGTAGTATAGGATCAGCATGATCTGTATGGGTGGAATTGTTACTAGGAGGGGTAGATATGATACAAGACTTGGAGCTAAAGGAAGTGTGTTTCTTTATACTTTATATGCATTGTCAAATTTTGGGTTTTATCTTTGTGGGCCTCCAAGACTCAACATTTAGCGCAGGCGCTCGACGGCCTTGATAAGATCGGCCGAAACACCCATGGCAGTAACATCACCACCAGCACCGGCACCCTGGACAATCAGGGGATTGGCACCGTAGCGCTTGGTGTAGAAGCTGATGATGTTATCACTGCCCTTCAGACCTGCGATGGCGCTGTCCTTATCGAAGTACTGCAGGCCGACCTTGACAGCCTTGGCAGCGACATCAATGCTACCAACATAGCGCACAACCTTGCCCTGCTTCTCAGCAGTGTCCTTGATGTTGGCCATCTGGGCATCGAACTCAGGGAGGCGGGTCATGAACTGGGTAATGCCGTCTGCGGATGAAGGCAGAGATTCGAGCTCAGCGGGGATCAGCGACTCAATGGGGAAAGAGTCGGGGCTAGAGACCTCCAGACCAGCAACACGGGCAAGGATGGTCAGCTTGCGTGCAACATCCATGCCATTCAGGTCATCACGAGGATCCGGCTCGGTGTAGCCCAACTCCTTAGCCTGGGCGACGACGGCACTCCACTGCGCATCGGAAGAGCCTGATGCGGGGGCGAAGTTGTTGAAGAGGAAGGACAAAGTGCCAGAGAAGACACCCTCAATGCGGGTGACCTCGTCACCGGTGGCCACCAGGTCCTTTAGGGTGGACAACACGGGCAGGCCGGCACCGACGGTGCTCTCGTGGTACACGAGAGCCTTGCCTTCAGCTGCAGAGGCAAAGATATCCTTCCACAGGGATAGGTCATCGGAGAAACCCTTCTTGTTGGGGGTCACTACTGAGATGCCCTTCTTGAGGAATGTGGGGTATTGCCGGGCCAGGCTAATGTCGGAAGTGTTATCGACCAAAATGGCTCGGCCAGGGGCTGCGGCAAGGTATGTGGCAATCTCCTCGGCCTGTAGGGCACCGCTCTTGGTCAGAGAAGGTACAGCAGAAGCTGTGGCCCAGTCAGCGGCGGGGATGGCGGGCGAATAGGCGGGAGTGGGAGCAAGGAGGGTCTGGGAGGAACGGGCAAGGACGACAAGCTGAGGCGCATTGGGGAGACGAGCAAGCTGTTGGAGGAAGGCAGTACCAACGCCTCCAACACCTGATTCATCAAATCGTTAGTACTCAATTGATTCGGACTTTTCCAAGCTCAGTAGTGGGGGTCACCTACCAATGACACCAAGGTAGATAGGGCTAGCGGACATGATGCTGATTGTATACTTTTTTTTCTTGATGATTTCGATCAATTTAACTTTCTGATTCTCAACCAAGAGTTCAATATCAGATCAAAATTAAAAGATTGATCAATTGAGTCACGAACGCGATCGATTCACCTGAGTAGTGGGGGTGCGGGGCTGCCCCGAACATCGGCCTTAGTCATCAGTGGCTGGCAGAAACTGATATGCAAGGATTTGGCGGTGTATATCGGCCCATTGTGCTTATCGATAAGCGGATGGCATTGTAGCACGTAGAACTTCGGTGAAATTGGTAACTTCCTTCTTGACATAACACAATACGTACCCGTTCACACCATCATGCCTGCAGACCAGGACTCCCTATACGGGCAACCCCGTCTGAAAAAGAACAAAACTGAACAAACCACTTCCTCAAACCTCGCCTTCACCTCTCAGCTCTCTTCACTCATCGCCCAAGATGCGACCTCGGCTTCGTCGCGCGGGCGCCACCGTCCCTCCAAGCATCCGAAGTCAGATATCTTTTCAAAGCACAACAAAGGAACTCAGAAGCGCGCAGCTGCCGATCTCGCAGATGACAACAGGGCGCTCAAGCAGGTCCACAGGAGCACCCAGGACATTGGCTCCGTTGACGCCAGCACGCTGAGCCGGTCTCGACGCCGCATGCAGGAAAAAGCACGCGTCTACGAGGATATGAAGAAGGGACTGCATCTTGCCGGTGACAGTGATGATGATGACATGCCAGTTGATCCATCCGATCCGGACGCCTACCTAGCCCGGCTACGACGCAAGGAGAAAGACGTATTGGTTGATTTCGATCTGAAGCACGCAAACGAGGAGCCGCTCAAGCAAGATGAAACCGATGACGACAATGCATCTATTGTTTCTTACGAAGACGATCTTGGCCGTTCTCGCCGTGGCACTCGCGCCGAAGCCGCCGAAGCCGCTCGCGCCAAGGAGGAAGAAGCCGGTGGCAGAGCTGCCCAGGAACGCTGGCGTCCTACTCGTCCTGACAATTTGATTTACGGAGAGACCGTTCAGACAGAAGCCTTTAATCCCGATGCCAACATTGCGTCCCACATGTCCCATCTCGCTGCTCGCCGTGACCGCTCGCCTACCCCGCCAGAGAAGAAGCATTACGATGCCGAAACAGAGGTTCGCAACCGTGGAACCGGATTCTATAACTTTTCCACCGACGAGGAGGAGCGTAAGCAGCAGATGGAAGAACTCCGAGTTTTGCGAGAGGAGACTTTATTCAAGCGGAAAACGGACGAGGAAAGGATGGCTGAGCGCAAGGCTCATGAAGAGTGGCGAATCAAAGAGATCAACAGACTTCAGGAAGAGAGGAGGGAGAGATGGCGCTTGGAGGACCTTGAAGCCGAACGCAACCCTAAGCCAAAAACCACGCCTCCGCCTAAACCACCGCCCTCGATGTGGTTGTACCCTGAGTCAGACACCCCGTATGACCGAACTAAATGCCCACTGTGGCGACGGTACATGGTCATGGTTTATCCCGACCCAGACGATATTGCCGAATCTACAAAGGACAAGGACAAGGACAAGGAGACTTCCTAGGACTTCCTAGGACTTCCTAGGACTTTCTTGGTTTCTTCTCTCGTGTTCCGCGGTGGCCAAGTGATGCCTTATCACCTTTCCATTGCATTTTCCCGCGCTTTGGTTGACAATGTGCTTTCTGCTTTCTACTTTGCGTTTTCTTTTTGTATGTGTGATACCCTCATTAGTTAACTTGCGCTTTTACTCCCATACAATGGATTTGGTTGAATATAGTCTGTGTGTCTATATATGTCAATAGATCTGAGGATCTCAGAAGGTAGGGTGCTCTAGCTATACAGTGTAGCCAGTGGTAGGGCTGCTATGGCGACGACAAACTTGAAGCCTGTTGTACGAGAAATAAAAATAAAAATAAAAATAGGGCCCAAAGAAGGGCAAAACTATCGGAACTACTAGGAAGCAATCGACGTCTTTTGAAATCTTGAATCATCGCAGTCATATCAACATAACTCATAACTCATCATGTCAGAACAGAGATTCCAATTATAAACTGCAAGTCCCACCGCAATCCCTATCACGACTCAATCACCCAATTCATCCATGACATCCAAGAACTCCCTGGCATCTAAAACAAAGTCCAATCAGTCAACAATACTCGAGATCAGGTTCCCTTGAGGTCTAACTACTTACCAGAAGAGCTTGTGAACTCGAGGACATGATGTCCATGTGGCGTCTGCGGCGGCGTATAATCATCCATAGACATAAATACCACAGGCTTGACATTACGCAAAATCACCGTTTTCGAATCGTACGACTTAAGCCAACTGCGTTTCCCGAGGTTGTGGGTGACAAACGCAGTCCAGACGGGTGTACTGCGTTCATTGTTATTAGCATTTAGTGTTTAGTTCGCTGAATCGACACCTGACATACTGGTTCAAGTCGCCTAGGTGGACTGACGACTGGAGTCGTACGGCTCCAGTGACCGTATCTTTGTATACGCGCAACGCGTGCACGTAGTCATCGTCGGTGATTGTGCTAGCAGATGTCAGCCTCCGTGCACTTAATTTCCTTTTTGGTATGGATTAAATACCCTCCAAAGCATTCTTGTTCGTGTGCCAGCTCATAGTCTAGAATTTCTCCGACAGGGTGGCCTGCATCCTGGGAGCGCAAGGCAAGGAATGTGCCATGGAATAGCACCAGATCTACAACATAAAAGCTGTAAGCATGTCACTTCGATAGCTAAGGCAGAGCTTTCAGATGGGCACTGCTGACCTTCCAATGTGGTGAACTTCAATTGCGTCCATAGAACAAGCTCTGTGCCGCGATTCCGCCGCCTACATATTCGGAGACAAGAGCCATCTCGCAAGACCTCAAGTAAATTAAGCGGCAAGCAGTAGTAGTCACTCGGCCCCGTCCGGTGGGGTTCCCTGCAAAGGATGCGGACGCGGTGGTCTGTTCTTCTTAGGTAGAAGGAGACGCGCATATCGGACTCGTCGTTCAGGGATCTATACTGTGTTAAAACATATGCTCCAAAGAGGTATATATTCTCAACTTGCAGTTGAAGGAGCTCCTCGAAGCCCTTGTCTTTAATTAATTGTTTAATACCCGGATAAGGGTCTCCGCAGCATTGTGACCTGTTGCCGAATATATTAGCAAAATGCCGACAAGCAAAGCAACCTATCGATAACTCACTTTTCTCTGACGGATGGTAGAGGAGTGCTGGTGCCACTAGAGCCGAACGTTTCCTTGGCCCAGTGCTCTTTGATAACATCAGGGTCACTCGAATGGCTAGTAGCCGTCGTTGCAGATGCAGAAGTAAGCGGCGAGAGCGGGATATCTGGTACAGAGGGCGGGAAATCCGAAGAAGTGGTGGAGGAAGATGACATCGGCGGAGACATATGCGGCGGTCGAGTGCGCTCGTATGACCTCTGCCGTCGTGCATTCCGGTCACTCGCCGGGCGATCCCTCACCGGGTGGTCCCTCACCGGGTGGTCCCTCACCGGATGGTCCCTCACCGGATGGTCCCTCACCGGATGGTCCCTCACCGGATGGTCCCTCACCGGGCGGTCTCTCACTAGGCGGTCCCTCACTGGGCGGTCTATTACCGGGCGCTCCCTCAGCGGGCGCTCCCTCACTGGGCTCGGGGGACTCGCGCGGTTACCGGTAGGCGAGTCATGCGGACGGAGCGTCATGCCTTCAAAGCGAGCAGCAAACCGGCCATCTTGTATAGAGAGTAAAGTCTTGAAGCCACCGACGAGGCCCACAAGAAGCGAGGAGGTATAGTGACCCCTAATAAAGACCGTGAGTAAGTATGTATACACATGCACTTTTTCTACTAGTCCTTTTTGGCTTTTTTTTTGGGAGCACCTACTCTCTTACCAAGTCATTGAACTCTTTAAAGACTGTCTTATACTTGGCTAGACGGGTGGCCAGGGTATAATTTGATTGATCCCAAAAGAACCGGCTCATAATCACCCATGTGCGTTTGTATCTCGCCGAACTAGCATCGGGGCCATCGAGGCCTCTGAAAATATCGCCGATATCCTCGATTGTATATGTGAAACTGGCTTGCACGACATTCAAGTCGGATTTGATCATATCGAAATAACGGCGATTTCGGGGATCTTCAGCTAGACGTTCCAGGGTGGACATGGATGAGCTGATTGCGTATAACTCGGACATGAGCGATGTGATTTCGCCCACGTGTTCTGGGAGAGGATCTCGGAATGCAGAGAAGCCAGCCGCCACGTCGTCGGCGCTCTGACGAGATGCGCGCAGAGCCTGAGCCATCTTATAGTTCACAGAGTTAGGCCATAAGGCTTCGAGGGGGGGAGGTTTATATTTTTTTTTGGGGAGGGGGAGGGATACGGTGGGGAGGGTTCTCGAAGAGGGGCTACGGGAAAAAAAATTAGGAATTAAATAGGCCAATAAGCTTACATGTGAACAATTAAGATTATTTAACAAAGACAAGAAGGAAAAAAAAATTATTGCCCATGCGGCTCTCTCAGGGTTCTCCCTTGCGCCCCAAGATCTGACGTGTTCACGCGCGAATGGCGGGGCTTAGTGGAGTCCTAATCTCTTCGTCATCTTTGGCCAGTTGTCTTTTTCTTAGACCGCTGGTTGAGGATATAGACCTCGGGAATATATTATATATATTATATATACGCTTAAGAGCTATAAGCTCCGGGTTGACTCAGATTCCATGGTTCCCAAGGTATTTCCTAGCCCTAAATGTGGAGAACCGTTCAGTCTTACCTAGGTATGGCCCCCTCACTTAGACCAATAGGATAAAGCGTCTTGAGTACAGGGAGTACGGAATAGATAAACTCTTGGTTCCTGGATTTGGCTTGTGAAAACTTGCACGAAAGTCGAGGAAACCATTCAGAGAGAATAGGTTATAAAGTGGAACACTAGAAAGCAAATATCATCAAGTTAATGGGGGTTGCTTTCAGTTCGAGGTCTCTAGCAAAATGTGCTCCTCTTCTTCGGGCTTATATACTCCACAGCTTAAAGTCTATATATAGCGTCGCTAAGGTAAGATCACCTTAGGGTCGACGCTAAATCCTTCTCCCTCACTTCACATCTCTAGTGAGTCATGCTTAATGGTCAAACCGTACTTTATAAACTGGCTGCCCACTGCATGGCCGGAGAACCCATCGAAACCGCTCTGATAAATATCCTTCTATCGTGCGGTTCCAAAACAAACCAACAAGATAGGAGCAAAACACCGTATTGCACCTATGGCTAGAAACCTACGTTAGACACAGGCGACTAAATTTCTACTTGGCCGAGGCGCTAGTGTTAGTGTCACCAATGCAAAAGGGAATACAGCTTTGCACGAATGCATGGCTATGGGAATTATTTTCCCACAGCAGATGAGAAATGGGACCTTGAGCCTCGCGTTTGCTGATCGGACAAGAGCGCTGGATGAGATGGTTTGCTTCCTGCTCGAGGCGGCCGGGGGTGATGGTATGATGGACCAGCCTAATTCAGCAAATGCAGTCTAAGAAACTGGTTATGTGGTAGATGTGGGTGTCAGATGCGGTCAAAAGAAACAGTTAATCTTGCTGGGTACTATTTAATCGACAGTTTAGCAGTAAAACGGAAAGGGAAAGTCATCGATCGCAGCCGAGAATCCGGTGTACATATATATGCAAATGTTGAATTTAGAACGGGCTAGAACATATTAATATTTCCGTGACTCGCGTAAATGTGCTTATTAGGGCTGTTTGGGGCCAAGACTGTCACTATGGAAACCGCGTTATATAACAAAGTCGAGCTAGATCGGCACAGGCTACAGAGCTCTAGAATGTCGAAAGTACTTCGCGATTAATTGAATGCAGTTTCCTAATCGCACTGTGCTCATCGAGCGTATAGTTATTCATATCTGATTTACTCACTACAGCTGCAAAACCACCAGTACTTGTTGGATAGCAAGCGCCAACAGAAAGGCATCTAACAGAGTATTGAATTCAACAAGTTAACTACATGGATCGTTCAACATGCGTAAAAAATATAATCGCATACTCTGCGAGATCCCTCCACACTTACGGGATGGGTGTTCGACTTAAGAAATATCAGGCTTTGTTAGTCTCAGGCGCTACGCACAATTATGCCAGGAAAAGAATGATTCGACTATAGTCGTAGTAGCTATACTAGCGTAACATGGCTTTGAACAAACACCGCTGCTGGTTATTCCTGTCCGGCTATACTATATATTGCTTCCACGTGCGCCGCTCGTTGAATGGTGCGTATATGTATCGCACCCTTATGGCTGGAGTTGTCGTAATGGTGTGGTTTGATACGTATGTGGCAATAAACCACGCATCGAGGCTATATTGACACAGCAAGATCAGGATTAGTCCAAATGCATAATGCTGTGCATATAACTCGACAAGTCCATCAAAATCCCGTTTAGGAGTAGATAGATACTTACTGAGATCTTGTGCCCGTAGGGCTGAAGCACCATCCATGAGCCCAGTGTTGTGGTGAAACAATTCTCATCGCATTGTCGCCCTGCTGTCTGCCCGTCTTGTCGTGAGTCCCAAGTGTAACCGTCTTGTATAATGATCACACTGTGTGTGTCTTCGCGCCCGTAAAGTATCGTCATATCCCGCGTATAATCGCGCTGTATTATGTCGTAATCGCATCGTCGTACCCCCACCCATATTGCATAAGTATGCCCCGCGTGCATTCACTTGCGCTAGCCCTAAGGATATATAGCTGATCCCAGCCATCCTAAAAGAGCTTACCAGCGTCCAAAGTGTTTGCACCTCCAGAGCGAGGCTCGAGTATCTAGGGTCGGGGCTTCACGAATCCCGAGCTCCAGATAGTTGTGAGCTCCTAATACATCGTAGTCTTCGATAACGCTTTATGATTAACCATGACGGCTCTTCTGCTGACTTTTGTTTGACTTCCGCTTTGATCTGGGTTTGGGAATTTCCGATAAAAGTCCATGGTTAGCGGACGAAGCGACGTTGCTTGGAAGATTCCCACAGCATTCGAAACAAACTCAAGGTTAAGCTCCGAGCTTCGACCCCGGATTATTGGGGCGGTGAATGACGCAGGCGGTGAACCCCGCCCGGTTTTGCGGGGCAAAAAAGCTCAAGAGCTCTGGAGAGCTCCCGAAGCTTCCCCGAAGCTCGGCAGCCAAAAACCAGAGCCGAAGTGAGGTCAATCTGAACAGCGCGGAGAAAATCCCTTGCACAACAGACTGAAGCTTACTTTTGAATCATCCCCACAAGCAAGTGAGTTTGCCAACGCTTGCTTGCTTTTCTTACGATCGTTTTAAATTTACTTGGAAGTATGCTTTGGCACCAATTTAAAAGGTTGAGATCTCCCATTGATAACTTAATACCCCCGATAAGAGCAAAGAGGCACAGTTCAGAAGCAAAGTAAACCCCAGCCGTCCTCCAAACCCAGAAACCGTGCACGAAACCGTCCGAAAAAAAAAATCAGGAGAACCATTAGAGAAACACAAACGCCCAGAGGCAAAAGACGAAGTGAAGCTAGAGGGCATTTAAGAGGATTCCTCCTCTTCCTCCTCATCAGCCTTGGCGAGGTAGGCGGCCTTCTCCTCTTCGTAGCGCTTCTTGTCAGCGGCAGCCTTAGCATCGTAGGGCTTGCGGTCGGTCTCGCTCAGAGCCTTCCACTTGTCACCGAGCTGCTTGCCAACCTGGCCTGTAGGAATGTTAGATATATACAACGAAGCTGGGGAAGTAGATTCACTGACCGAAGCTGATGCCGGGGTTCTCCTCGCGAACCTTGTCGCGGTTGTCATTGGCGAAGAACATGTAGGCGGAGAGACCACGCTTGGGAGCATTGGGGTCTAGTAAGTAAATTAGTATAAGCCGGGGACTGATTGTTTGATTTTAACTTACCCTTCTTGCGGCGCTGGACGCGCTTCTCAGGGGCCTTGCGAGTAGACTTGGTGGTGCTGCTGTCCTTAGGCATGATGACTGATGAAGGTTAGATGCGATTTCTGAGGATTTTTGCCACAATAGATGTATTGCAGGAGAAACGAAAGGTGCAATTGTGTCCAGTGGAGGTTTGTATGCGCAATTGACATGGTATTTAAAGAAATTAGAGGGGAGGTGAGAGGGGAGAAGGATGGACGCGAGTGTTTGCTCGACGCGTTGCGCGCAAGTCAACCACTTGCGACCGAGGGAAAACAGAGATTCGAGACGATAGGGATAAGATTAACTCACATGAATTCGATGATCACGAATTAGAATATGTTGAAAAAAAGGGAACTGTGGGTTTTCATGTTAGTTAGGTGGACAAGAACATAGATCAAGGTGTAGCGCGCGACCGCAAGGACGGCGCAAATTGGGAAAAAAAAAGACAGGCAATGAGGTGAAGATAAAGGATTCCAAGGACTAAAAGAACTGGGAAAAAAAGGGGGTGTGGTGGTGGTGGAGGAAATGTGCTTCAGAAGTGTTGATTTATAGAACTCGGGGTTGATATGCAGTACCTTTTTTTGTAAGGGGAGTTTTGTATGGGGGAGTTGTAGTAGTGTAGGAAGATAGTAAGAGAAGAGAAGAGTAGAGGGGGGAGGGCCGTAGTAGTAGCAAAGAGAGGGGGGCCACAGCAAGGGAAAGGCAAGCACGGTTTCGCTGGTTTCGCTGACTGGCTGAAGAGCAACGTATGGTTCAATACTTGTAATTTACACTGGCCACTATACTATTTACAACTGATTCCTCGAAATTTACGTATTATTTCCCTAATTTACCTACAAAAATTCCATTTATATCGTTTGAAATTGATAAATCCATGCACTTTCTTTTTTTCCATTTTTTTTTCCATAGGCAAGTCTTTGTGGGCAGTTGAATGAATTAGAGAATTCAATACGGCGTTATGAAACGAGACCATCATTCCGGCATCTGGGACTTGTGGATTGCGCTCCGTCATATTAATAAACCGCGCAAACGTACAGGTATACGGTACACGGTAATACTATAGTAAAAGCGTCTGCTCGGCAAGTACCTCGTACCTATTATTACAACAAGTGTTTATCATCTAATTGATATAGTTCACTTATAGTTATTGCGAAATTTATTCTATTGAATAATAGTATAGGCATCAAGACTCTTTTACCCTTATGTTTGTTGCAAAGTAGGCTATAATGTATGTCATAAAAATCCCAGAGAAACACCTCTAAGAGACATGCGGAAGGATATAGAAATAACAATCAAACATTTTCATAACATATTCAGTTTGAGGCAGGATGCTTGTGTACTCCGTACAGACATTGGACATTATGAACTTGCTTCCATATGGTATAGCGTATA